AACACTTTTTGTTATCAAAATGCTTGCAGGACCTCATGCCTACGTAGGCCTTCACTGAGATAAGAGATATAGGTACATCACTTCTTTGTATCATTTCTTTCATGTAGTCATCAATAAATAAGGCCTCACTCACATTTGACCCAAAGAAAACTAAAGCTAAAATGAATTGTATTTTAGACATAGAATACTTCCAGTTCTGGTTTTTTTTTCTACAGGAACATGTGTAACCATGGCCATAAGGAGGTRCCCAGGAGTTCAGTGCTGAAGAGCTGAGGAAAATAAATTTGAGGCGGTGGAAAAATGAAAACTGTTAGTGAACTCATTTCAAAATACACAGAAATAACAATTCTGCTTTTAAGTTTTTACAAAGTGCAAGAGAAAAGCTTGTTTTGAACTGTAGGAGGTCCTGTCTTGCAGTAACCTGTGTAATCTGTACTTAGTTTAGTGCTGCCATACAACAGTGCCAAGTTCTTTACCCCATCCTGTAGTACCGGCTTTGGTTAACATTGRTACTTTCAAAACCAGAGTCAGCTTTCAAGCTCTGGTGTTTCAGCCCTTACATAAACAGTTCCACTGACTTTAAGAAGTGCCATATGTTGTGTCCCCAGCTTGGCACAGCTTGAGTAGGATCTCTTGGTYACCACAGGCAAAGTAATCAAATGCCTGCACTCCTTTCTAAAATGCTTTRTTCTCAGGATTACCACCCTCCTTCTAGGGACTGATTAAAAGGTTTTCCAGGTTGTGTCTGCAGCTGTRCAGATGCTTTTAGCTCTCAGAAGCTGAACTGCACTCAACCAGGAAAACTGATGAAGAAGGCTGTTCTATTCACACTATAAGGAACACAAACTGGGCAAGCTCCACTTGGTTCCTTCTTTTCATTTTTGTCTTTACAAAGCAAAGACATAAAGGAAATAACAGAGGCAGGACTCTGATGACCAGCTCCCAGTACAAATAAATCAGTTGTCTTGTTTTAAGGGTTTGAGCTGCAGTGAGRCTTAGAAATGCTTGATAAACAGAAACTGGAGTCTGAGGATAAGGCTTGAGTGAAAATGAATAGGMACTAGAAGAATGTATAAGTATTTTTAAGATATTCTGGACTGATTCATGTTGATGCTGCTTCACTGCTTCAGTGGAATGCTACCAAGTCAGAGCAGCACAGCACCTGGTCCTGCTGCTCAGTTCAAGGCTGGAAAAAGCAAGGCTTGTTTTGCCTGTTCCTGGAAAACATGTTTTTTTCTGGGCTGAAGCACAGCAATTGTTAACACTATTTAGCCACTGCTGTCAAACAATAGAAAGAAAATGTTTAATCCAAATGGAATAAAAAAGGAGTTGTAGACACCAAAGTGGAGTAATTTGCAGTGGAAACTGGCAAGGGTCCTGCAGTTAAACCTTTTAATGARAAGTCCATGGAACCTCTCTGGTATGCTTGAACCCTGTTCCATAATAGGRCTCATCCCCAAAAATATGGAATTCCTTCTAAACTTATACATATACTCACCATTTATTCTTTATTTCTTATTTTCTGTGGGAAAAAAAAACAATACATTTTTGTATGTCTTGATTTAAATCACAGTTTCTTATAATCAGTATATATTATGATTAGGTCCTGTTTGACAAATTTAGCAAAGCTGTAGGACTCCTTTTTTGCGCAGGTAACTTGTCACTTGTGGTGAGCATAAAAGAGGTATTCTCTGTACACCTGCTGCTGAAAATACCTGAGTTGATTTTCTGTTCTGAAGAACAGCTYTGTTATGACTCAGGGCTAAGCTATTCAGGAAGAAGGAAAGCACCACTTTGGGGTGTGTGTTTGCAACACACTGGTCCTGACCTGGTGGCTTTGGTAAAACCCAAGTTTTAGGGACTAAAGACATAAGTAACAAACTGTYGTGCATCATCCTTCAAAAAGTGAGACTAGTATTGCAATAAGGCTGTTCGAGCTGTGCCTTGCTGTTTCTAACTTCCAACATACTCAATTAAAAGGCTGAGGTTTGCCAGATTGTCTTGTTGCCCTTGGCATACACTGAACTCCTGAACCCTGACAGTTTCAGAAATAAACAAGAAMCTCTTGAGCTTCACTTTCACCCCATAAAAAAACAGATAAGCCCAAACTTTTTAGTCTTAGAATTATTGAAGATTTTAGATGTTTAGACTTTCCTGATGCCAAAAAGGTGAAAGAAAAGTAATTCATATATCCAGCACATCCATATGTGCTTTCAGCATGAAGGCCTATGTGTGAACTTCATCTAAAGCTGTAATTCCGACTTTCAAAACATGTAAGTATTTTTCTCTAGAAGGATTTCAAAGCTACAGCTCTGTGCAACATTTAGAAATAATGCAGTCTGAAAGAGCAACGTCAGCACCATTATTCAACTGATCAGACTGATTTAATTATTCTTTCTAAGAAATTTATCAGATTGCAGAATCAGCCAAAGGTAAAGCTCTGTCCTGAAACTAAGGTRCATTGGGTTAGTGGGGCCAAATTATGCCAATTTTGTAGTGGTTGGAAGGTAATTGTGGGGCTAGCACCAATTTTTTTTTTTTCCAGTTTAAAAGAAAGACTATGTCTGGTGGCCTGGGAGTGGACTCCAGTGTAAGGCTTGAAAGCACATCTCTGAAATCACAAGTTACACTTCTTGGTCTGTCTCTGCATCATTTTATGGCATATTAGGTTTACCTTCCTTTTCTGCTAACAAATAGGTACTGCAACATTTACTGTATGTTATGACAAGATAGGTTTTTAAAATAAACTTAAAGTCTCTATCACAGGTTTTCAAAATAAACGGAAAGTCTCTGTGAATACAAAGCAGGAACTGGAAAAGCCAAACACTCTGTCAGTAACTTCAGATCCCACCTTCTATCTTCAGAGATCAACAGCAGGAATCTCCTTCTTCTTCTTAATATAACATTTCTAAATTCCTCTATTCAGCACATGACACTGAAGCCACTTACCAAAACTTAGTTGTTTTGGAAAATGTATCAAGATTGAAAAAAGATGACACGGCAGCATCTTGGGACAGAAGAACTGTGAAATTCAAATGCAAAATGCTGTAATGGATTGAGGGTTAATTCTGTCCCCATTTGACCATAGACTGCTCTYATTAGGATCAATAAGGACCATAGATATACATCCAAGGATAGAATTTGATCCGCAGATGTGACTCAGTAAAAAAAAAAAATGGTGTTGGAAATAAAGAAATTCTATACTTACAAATTAAAATCATCAGCAACAAAGTGGCAGACAATCCTCCCAGAAAATATCTGAGAACATAACAATACCCAGAAAGGTTAGAAAAAGCCAAGGGATATGTATTAGGTTAAAAGAGGTGAAGCCTAGGTGGGAGGAGGAGAGGGTTCATTCTTGCAGATGAACCCTCTGAACTCTGGTAGGTGAACTGTAATTTGAAACTTTAAATTGCATAAACTATTGAAGATAATCTCCTGGAAAGAAAGACCTCAGCATTCAGACTGAGAGAAAAACCCACTTAGAAAGGCATGGATCCATTTTGATTCTTCTCAGCCTGCCAAAACTCCTGTCAAAGCACACTTGGCAAAGTAGCCTTCCTATCTGCATACATATTTCTTAATTTTGTGCATATCTATATAGCTCAGATATTTGCCTCCATAGACTGTCATCTGAAAAAGCATTTTCCCAGTAAGATACATATAACTTTGAAATGTGACCCTTAATTAAAGTTTTATTCACCAGTTGAAATAARGCAAGCACTGATGTTAGAAAGAGAAAATAAAAGAAATAAAAATTACCTTGTACATACTGAAATGATTAAACACATGATCAGTGCAACCATCTGAGAAACGACATTTTGCACTGTCCTGGATTCTAAAATAAAAAGCCAGAAATTMATGGGTTTTAATGAAAGTAAATATATGACAGGAGGTTTTTGCAAAGACTACCTTCAGCCTGTGAGACCAGTCTCTACCGTTGCTTTTAAAGAGAACTTGCCTCAAGTGATTCAAAGCAGAAACCTAATTTTCATGCTCTGGGTGTCCCTMAGGAGCCTTTTTCCCCCACAACTACAGAAACACTGTGCCCTCCATGCTCTCAGAAAACAAGCCTTTCTGCATAATTGCCTGTTTCAGTTTTTGCTCCCATGCCCTTTCCTCCATTGTCCTCTTAATTTTTTTTCTGAGAAATGGGTGAGGAAAAACTGTGAGCAGGGAAGAGTAATCAATTAAATACTAATTTAATGGTTTTGTCATTTTTAATCCTTCATTTAGAATATATGTTTTAGTAAATAAATTTATATGTTTTAGTAAATAAATTCTATTCTGCAAATGCCAGATTTTTAATGTATTTTTGGTTCGCTCTAAAAATGAAGCATGTCAGAATAAGAACATAACATACCTGCATTGCTCAAGATCTTTTCACTTGCATTTATCATAAATGAAGAGCAGGATTTTGAAGCACAAAATGGTTCCTCAAACTGAAGAAACTCATCTTCTTTGGTGAGAGATGCTCCATTAGATGCTGGAATTTGCCTTTGTGACACATGGTTATTATATTCAGAAGAAAAGTCTGAATCACCTACAAGAAGTAGACATATAACTGAGACTGCACAAAAGAAGAGCTCTGAGACTTTGTGCTAATGAATTTAGGAATTAATTACTGAATCACAGGAGAGGTTCCATATTGTTATGGGTAGGGAATTGGCAGATCCAAATGTATGCAGGAAAAATTATGCAGAGTAAACACAAAACCACGTAGAGCATAACAGATGAATTTATTAAAAGACCAGGTGAAAGCAGACAGTGCCAGGTATTAATCACACCAGAATAAACATCCCTGGTGATGACTTTGCATTCAAATTCAGTCAAAAAAATGCCAGGAGCTCTATTTACCCCTGAGAATTCTGTAGGTGATCTATCCTTTACCTGCACACCTTGGCAGACAAAACCTGCAAAACTTCCAGAGATAGCCAATTCCTACTCAATACAGACTGCAAAGTTGTATCTTGATTGTCTGGTAAATGATCAGGGCTCACCAATATCACTGTGACTGGCTTCTAGCTTACTGCATCCGTCAGGCCAAGGATCCTCTCCATGAGAGGAATCCATCTTGCTGGGAATGGTGGAGCTGAGCCATGAGCTGGAGGCACTGAGATTGAACAAGCTGTCAAGAGAGCGACGGATTTTCTTCCTTCGCCTGAAAACACTAGAAAAAAAAGATATGTTGCCAAGGAATAGAGCTAATTATTCTTGCTGAGCAGGGACAGGAGCGCTAAAGCTTGCAGGAACAACATGAAWGAACCAGATACTGGATGCTGGTCCCAGCCCTGTTCTTGACCCTGGGCATGTCACCAGGAAGAGCTGCTGCACACCACAATATGTCAGGGAATGTATTAACAGCAGGGCTGATCATGTTGCAATACTGGATACTGTAGTACCAAATGATATCACAGCTAYTGATCTCTGATACTACTGTGAGTATCTCACGCTGCTCCTGAGGTCCATGCTGCCATATTCTATGTAGGACAGTCTGAATCCATTGAACTTCAAGTTTTTTAAACATAGCTTCCTAAATTGTTATTCTTCTGAATCAAGAGTCAATTTTCCTTGAGTAAAAATTCCAGAACCAGACCTATTTGTTAATATATATATATGTGTTTGTGTGTTTTAAAAAAAGACATTTTTATATATCCTTTTATAAGGACTTTTTTCTTAGTCCTTATCAGAGTAACACCCCATTGGCAAAATGAGCTGTAGCTCTCCTTTTTTCTTTATTGGACACAACTTCAATTATAGCAACAACTGTGCACTAAAGACTTTTTGGATAGTAAGACATGACTGAAAATCAGGTTATTTCGTTCATTGCACTCTCTAAACTAAAGCAGTTTAGATGTTCCCATTCAGAAGTAATGCTGATCTTATGCCAAGCAAAATGTAGACAGACACACAGACACCTCCAGATATACCTCTAGATAAGGCCAGAAATGTGGAGACAATCACCAACATGGAGTAAAATCTGCACACAGTTCACTTACCGAACTAAATTCTCTTTRTATGTGACACTTGTGTGGGATGGTGTCAGTGTTAAGTTGCCCTCCTCATCAGACAGAAAACTGTCTTCTGTCAAAACATAATAACCATTAGAAAGGAGTCGAGGGCTGCGGCGACATGTAGGAAGGGAGCCTGGCAGAGGATTTGTGGAGCATTCGTAGGCAGGATCATCGTCCAAACAAGCACAAGCACAACTGAAAAGGAGAAAYGAAAGCCTCTAATTTAGAGAAGGTCTGGACAGAGCAAACCCATGATTTAATAGTAATGAATTTACATTCCCAGCTGATGGTAGCTGTAATGACATAGATTTAAAAAATGTGGATGCAATGATATTAGTTCTGAAGTACGGGGTTTCAGCCATTTGACATGTGCATCACACTTTCCAGAGCTTCAGATTCCAGGAGGRATACATGCCAGGGGAGCATTTCCTGAAGCATGGAGCCAGCTTGGGCGCAGAAGTGTTCAGTGTGTTTCTGTGGCAGCRCTCTTGGCCAAGGATTTGTGCCAGACTTACACCGACCTGGATCCGTCATAGGCATTCCTGAGTTTTGTTTCTCAGAGTTCCTCTACACAGCACAAGCTGGGTGCCTCTGAGCCAGTCAGGATTAACTTGCTTTTTTATAACCTAGCCATATTTAGTGAAGATTTAGGGATACACGACTTCTAACTCTCACAAATTCCAGAATGCCATGCAGCTGGAGCAAGATGGAATAAAGCCTACACATTGTGATAGCTCTATCCAGCACTGAAACACMATTGACTCTGGGCTGAAATACAGTGCAAAAAATATACTCTGTGGTATAAAATAGAAGTGAGTAGTGACAGAGGTGAGAGGATCTAAAAGTTGTAGACACTACTCAGTTCAAGTAAAATTTTGAGTTTATGGCTAGTCCTTTCTCCTTAACACCAAAGAGCTCCAAATTGCCACGCAGTGACATCATGKAAAGGAAGACACTGCTCTGATTTAGTGTCTGACTGTGTTTTAGTAGAAGGTTTAACTATCCCATATGGCATGTCACAGAGAGATCCCATAGTTTCAGTGTAGGGAAAAGCAGATGGAAGAGAGGTACTCCAAATTAATTGCACTCCACTTGTAATTGCAAAGCCAGTGCTCCCAAAGAAGTACTTCTGAACTTCCATTTWGGGTAATAATTACATAAATATCAGCACTACAATTCTCAGTGGCCCAAAAAGGGTTTTTACAAAATGCACACCAAAACAAAAATAAAATTAAGCAAGTGTAACTTTCCTCAATACCTTGGAAAAATATGTTGTGAGAGGCTGTGTCCATGCTCTCCATTAAATTGTGTTGAACCTGCAGAGGCAAAGGTGAAATAAGATTGAGTTGTTATCATATTCACTGACAAATACCTTGTGCATACCAGAAAGATCATAAAAAAAAAAAAGTTAAAAATGAAAAGGAAATTAAGGGAAGGATTAAAGGAGATAAAACATATGAACAAATCAGGGAAAGTCATCTCAACCAGGACAACACAGAATGAGAGGCAACAGAAATCAGATACTTGTGCTCTGCCCAGATAACAGGCTTGAGAGAAATAATTACGGACACAAATACAATAACTACAGTAATTTTAGGSTCTTTTAACAGAAATCTGCTTCATGCCAAAGCCAGAATCTGAACTGGCACTAGATACAGAGAAGAATGGAAAGGCCACCATTATTATTATATTATATTTTTCAGATGAAAATTGCAGACATAGCACAACAAGCACGATTGCTGCAATGACAAATATTTGACAGTAATAKTGTGGCAGGAGCCTAAGGAAATAGGATTTGTCTGGATTATCATGGCTCAAGTGTGCAAAGTGCTGCTAGATGTTCTGCACCTGACAGAAGCAATCTCACAAAATATGAGCAAGGGCTATCCATAGGGAGAATTTATATGTTATTACATGAAAAGATAAAAGATAYGATCTTTCCCTATATTACCGTGCCTCTCCTGAATCTTTAGAGCTTCAGACTTACAACTGCTAGTAAATCCCCATCCTTCACCCCTGAGAGGAGATAGGGCTAAGAGAATTTCATTTTTTTATGTTCAGTTATGAGCTGAGGTAAAGAAAAGACATGAAGATCAGGGTTTCCACTTTGGTAATCTTGTTTATCGTCATTTGGAGCTCAGCTGTCAGTCACAGGCTGTGTGTGAAGGCTAACTCACCCTTGGGACCAGGGAGGGTAACCAAAGTAGAGACATCAAACCTTCAGGGTATTTTTTAAAAAATCCTATTACCCTGCTCCCATACACACTGTTTCTCCTACCCTTTGGAAAAAAAAAAAATCACTTTACCATGAGCAAATCGTGCTCTAATGCTCACAAAAATAACTTGAGGAGGAGACAACTGAAAGAATTTGAGGAGAGGTACAGAGTGATCAAGGAGGATCAGTCAGAAAGTCACAGAGCAAGTACAGACAAGTGAGACCAGTAGTGTATTTCATAGTTTGACTTGTATTAKAGTCATTTTTTCAMATACAACTAGCTCCTGAAATAATTGCTCTTATTTTATGTAAAGTCATGATTTYTAAATGTGCAAAAATCTTACATTCCAAGCCAAGAAATTCATTCAAACTCTAGAAGAAAATACAGGAAGAACTCCACAAGCAGTTTGTAGATCTGGATATAAACTAAAACCAGCAAAGTCCTAAACCTTATCAGTCAAAAAAGACTCCTTCCACAAGATATTTATTTTTATTAGAACTCTGAAAAATGCATCCAAATTTACTTGCTCCTGGAGTTGATGCAACATGTGATGTTCCATATATCTTGAAAAGGACTGTTTCATACACCATAGGGTCACAGGGAATATAGATTATTGGTAAAATAGTTTAAAGAGAAACAGAAGAATGTTTTATGTCTTTTTTGAAAATTTGGATGTGTAAGATAGTATCATAAATATATATCACATTATTAGTTATAATAGAGTCTTGCTTAGGAGAGATTCTAGGGCAAATTTGTTTGAAAAGGATATTTAGAAGKATATCTCAGGATCAGTTACACCTAGTGCAACTCTTTAATAATCTGAGAGYGAAACTTTCCAGCAACTGAAACCCGCAACACAGCTGTATTGCACTCAGTTCTTTCAGTTATGATAATATGAAGTAGCAATGTCTAAAAAAGAATAACTTTTAAGAGTAGCAGCTTTCTATGGGGTAGTGCTTTCACCCAAAAGTGTTGACATGCACTGATCACAGCGGCAGAACAAACCACAGTCCTCTGTTCCTCATTTGAATTGTSTCATAACTTTGCAAGATATGTCTCTGCAGGATGCCTGTTTATCTGCCACCCTCCAGAGAAATAAAACTTAAGATAAAATAGAATACAAACATCTATTTATAAAAGGAAGAGAGCAAGATACATATGCAGATATATTACTAGGGAGGCATTTCCCTCTTTTCAAATACAGTTAATAAGCAGCTGTAATTTGTTTTAAACTATTTTAAGTAACGATAACATCAAACTTCAGTGAACAGTCATAAAACAGGCAGTCCAACAGATTTTTTTGCTTCCCTTGATCATGAAATTTTTTGACTCATGCATAACGAAGAGAGTTCCTGAAAATCGTAATTCAGTCAATGATGGAGAAAACATGGAAACACCATGATGTAGACAATGCTGCACAGTGTTCTGCTTTCATTTAATATTCAGTCCTATTTCTGAGCTATTAATAGTGTGAGAAACTTTAGTAATGACATAACAAAACAAAGCATCTCAACCACTGCTGTACAATGAGGCAGTGGTTTTGTATCTAATCCACAAAATGAGCCATCAACACAGCACCTTTAAACTATGGCGTAAGAAAAGGCCACTAGCCGGATGAAATCTCACTAAAAGTGAATCTGAGGTGAATGTGGCAATATTTTATGTCAAGAATCCAAATAATAATTTAAGGCAACAACCTCCCTKGGATTTCAAAACACACAAAAGTTCATGTTGCATTATAAACAAAAAGTCACTGTCCAAACCAATCMGTTTTAACTACCCTTCCCTCCAAAAATCAAATTAGTGTTTAAGCCAATGACACCTTCAGTGTATAATCTAAGTGTTTACGTTAGTACCTACTAAAATATAATGCTAGCTATATAAATAGCTGAAACCCAGGCATCCAGCTTTATTCTATTGTACCTACCAAACACAAGTGTCTACAAAGAGAGTTTTATTGYTCACACAAATCAGTTGTTTTTGAAGAGCAGTGTAGTATTTTTTCCCTGCAGGTAATGGTAGCAACATTCACAAAAATCGCAAAACTTCGTGAAGAGCAGCATAGAAACCAATTCAAAGCTTAGCTATTCCTCRGCTGACAAACGCATTAAGAGATAAGTAAGTCTAAAATCCTTCAAACCTGGCAGATCCATTTCACAATTAACACATGCGTGCAAAAAAGTTTCTCCTCATCAGCCCGAGAGCCTGGGAGATGGCTGGAGCAGGGTGTTCCTTGTGCAGCTTCCCGGGGGAACTCAGCCCTGGCTTTTCGCAAAGGCAGGTCTAGCAAGTCCCCTGTTTCCTTTTGAAAACAGCCCGTGCAATCAGCGGCACACAGCCCGAATGAGGTCACGCTTCCTGTAAAGYAGCCTCACATCAGAAACATTCGTTCTGAAGAGCAAGCCGAAGATAAAGATTAGCCCAGCTAACGCTCTCGCCGGCTGCTGCGAAAGAGAAGAACCACTACAAATAACGTCTCGCTCTACAGATCATACAGAGAACAAAGACAGAACCTTTTCTCATAAGTGACACAGATTTTTGTATCAGATTTGCTTTTCTACTTTACGCAGAAAACTTTCAAATTGAGTATACAAATCATTCCATTTGTTGAAACACTTGTGAGCCTGACAGGCTTTGATGTAAGAAAATGATCCAACTACAGAAAAAAAAATAGGCATTTTCCAAAAGCACTATTGTACAGGAGATTTAGTGAGAGTTCACAGCTAAGTTTCACAGTTGAAAACATTGCAAATATATACCTCGCAAAGCTAACATAAATTCCATTGAAAGGAGAAAGGAATMAAGCCGTTTGTAAACATATTCATTGTTGCATGCTATATGTTTCATACTGTGTAAGGTATCAATTCATCATACCTTGAAGTATACAAAAATAAAGTCAAATCCACGTAAGAGAAATGGAGCCTGAATAAAATGTCCTGGCAATCAAAAGGATTTGGCTGTAGAACTATTGCACAAAAAAGTAATATAAATCAGCTGCTTGACACTGAAGAATTGTACAGCCTTAGGGGGTAAAACTTCATCTCCAAATAGATAAAATGATCTAGTAGTTTTCTCACCTGATGTCTGTATGTATCACTAACAAAAAAAAAAAAAAAAAAAAAAGAAAGCATGAATCTAGTAAAATATGATTGATTTGATTTGATGATAGTTTGTGAGCTTTTCCCCCCTAGAGAAGGAAAAATACTTCCACTGATAAAAGGAATGTGAAAACCTCACCTCCTTGAAAAGGAAACAAAAATAGGAATTAGGCAATTCGAATGTTGCAAAAGACCTTCTGTTTGTGCGTTAAACTAAAAGGAACATTTTATGATCCTTTTGCTCAAACATGAAAATAGGGACATATCCATYTTCACAWCAGTTCTTTMAATTTAGTGGAATTATATCCATGARGAAATTTAGTCCAACACTATTTCCATGGCTGCATGGGCTTCATCACAGCAGCATTTCCCTGGCCACCCTGCCTCTCTCTACAGGCAATGAATATAAATTCCCAATGATCTTTAAAACTAGGTCACCTAGASAAGAATTTCTGTACACACACAGATTTACTCCTTGGGCATATTTTTGGTTTCTTTTCTTATTTTTCTCAACAAGAAGCAGTTAATTACAAGCTTGAACTGCATTTTTAAAGGACATTGGCTTTTCATGTTTGTCTATATAATTAAAATACATTGTGTCTATATCATATTTAGGCTTGGAGGTGTTTTCTTTTTTAATCACTGCTATTTTATCTGAGCTCATGATTCCACAATCTTTTGATACATAAAATTGGTGCATTGGTGAATATTTCATAGGTGAGTCCTAGACTATAGTTAACACACACACACACACACACACACACACACACACACACACAAGGGTTTATATACAGGGTTTTTTTTTCTCCATCCTGTTGCTCCTCAAATTTCCCACTCCACCACAGGCCCCATCTCAACAATAAAAGCCTCAAATCAGGTTTCACGTTTTACAAAATGAGTACACCAACAAGCTTACTTGCAGTAGTTTTATGCCTACTGCATAAAACTGCAGTATTTTACTGCAGTATTTTATGGCACACATTACCATTCAACCCACAAAAGGAAGGAAATTAGAAATCATGATACTAAATACCACCCATATTTCTACACTTCTCCCAGACTYACTCTGCTTTTGATGCAACATATTGTGCAGGGTCTGACAGTCCAAGAGAGGTGGGGCCAGGGCTGTTCCATGCCTGGGGTCCCGGCAGCAATGAGCCTGAGCAGCTACACCCRGGAGAGGCGTGCACAGAGGGCATTTATACACCACATATGTACAGACACACAGCTGGCAACACAGGTRMCAGGGACAAACAGAGAGARCACTCACACAGCACTGACAGCCTCATCCTCCTCACCTCTCTGGCTGAACAGTGCACAGGTGCACTATGAGAATGTGCAGATACACATCTGTACACATCCCTCCCACAGCTGGGCTCACACACTCTGCCCAACAGCTGTCCTACATCCCAGACTCACCARTTGCACACACCGGGACATTTGAGCCCTTAGAGCCACAGCCCCACAGCCCTGTTGGTGCTGCAGACCATCACACACACAGGTACAGCTGGTTGGGATTCCCCAGGACCTCAGCAGATATACCTGAGATATACCCCATTCCATACCGTGTCCCATGCCCCAGGCAGCAGCTCTTCCCTGTCCCAAAGATGCTCTGGTGTTGACTCATCTGGGTGGGTTTCATGCCAGGCCACAAAGGCTGAGACTCCTCTGGGACAGCCCTGGGAAAGGCAGACTAACTGTCCATTCCTCTTAAATTCCTAATTCAGGTTCCCACCTGCCTTTGTGCCCCTGGGCTCTGGCTGATCAGGAAGGCCTTTGATGGGCTCCTGGAATGGGAGCAGCTGGGTACAGGGAATTCTTTGGGTTCCCCCTCATGCTGTTGTCCCTCTGAGCTCCTCTGTCACTGTGCAGATGAGCTTTAAGCACAYATTACTCGATAACTTTGCCATCTCAATGGCCCACTGCAACTCAATGCAGAGCACTGTTATGCTAAATACACAATTTTCAGGAAGGGTATTTTCCTGGTAGAGTGAATTTGARTGGCTGTGGTGGAGGGAGCAGAGTGCTTATTGATTGACTGTAATTGAGAGTAATGTGATGCTTCTGTAACTCTCCTTGAACCTCCTGGAAACCTCACAGACTTTCATTTTCCACCAGCTTCAGAGACTGTCAAATTAGGCCATTTTTACCATATCACAGATCTGTGTCAATATTGTTTATATAGTACTCAAAAGTAAAAAAAATATTCTCAAATATCTGAAAATTAATTGAAAAATGTTAAAAAATCCAGCAGGGGAAGAGCTGGTCAGGAGACTCTCTGAGCAGCCCCACTGGGTCAAAACCAAGGTATATGAAACTTTCCTTGCCTGAAGTCTTGCTGCAGGGAAAACCAAAACCCATTTAAATTCACCTTTTCAAATGATAACGTTTTTAGCTAAGTGCATCCCTTTATGCAGCAGAAACACTCAGCAATATATGAAAAACACTGGTAATTAAAAAAAGTCACGAACATAGACATGCTATTTCAATTTTAAGAAAAGACTGGTCCTGCACTGAGTTACCATTTCCTGCAGGTTACAGAACTGTCACATCATATACGATTTTAATAACCTTATCAGATCAGCTGTATGAACAAAGATTAATTAGCCTGAACAAAGATTAATTTGCCTTGAAGTGGAACAAATTCATTTTTAATGTTATCAGATGGAAATCCCATCACACTCTAGCAGAGACTTTCTGAGTTTGAGGATTGATTTTTTTTTCCCCCAGATACAGTATTTTAGCTTAATTGTTCCTGTAAAACAGGCCAAAAGAGCATTTCTTGTTTGTGTGGTGAAGTACAACAAATAGAACTGTAAAATTTGGAATTAGCTCTGAGCTTTCTGATACACCCATATTGCTCAGATCTCCAGAGCTTACCTTCAATAATACTATATCATCAACCTTTGTGTGATACTACAGACACAGTCCAGATAGACAAAAAAYGTTTCAAAAGGATCTAAATCAAGTAAGCCTGAGATGTACTATGATATTTCTCTGTACAAAGCCATGACCAATCCCTGTTGTACCTCCTTGCTTTCTGATTATATGGTATTAGAGAGAAATTTCCTTGGTATCTAAATCTGATGTAGACATGGGAAAATCTCACATMATGATATAAGAGCAGTGTAAAAGTAGACATGGATAAAATAAGAACAGTGCTTCCATTAGTATCTGTACCTCTCCCACTCTGCATCTGAAAATACTGCTTTAAAAACTATGTTATCAGAGAAAGAAAACAAAAGGAAGAGATTTAAATCCATCAGCCAAATCAGAATTTAGTCAAGGTTTCGAATAGAACTCAGGTGAGTTCTCATTAGAAGTCTTCATAAATTCCCTCATAAGATCTCACTGTTACTTAACAAGAAGATAGGAACACTAAAAAAAAGCAACAAACACAACAAATCTATACTAAAAGCTGTCTGAATCAWTTTTATTAGGGATGGCAGAAGTTCATGAATCAGCACACTGCAGTGTCTGCAGTGACAAGAGGCAGCCAGGACAGTCAGCTTGGCCAGTTGTGCTCCAGCAGCAYCTTATTTGCAGAGAACAGAAACACTGAAGCACTGATGACTGGTCTGAGCAGAGAATGAGTGAGAACAGATTTTATGTGATCTGTTTAAGGTGTACACCCATGATTCCTAAGCTCACARGTCATCACACTTCCAGCACAAACCTACATGACACATTTTAGGACACGCAGAGGGAAAGGACAGGGACTAAAGCAGGTAAGACAGTATGGGGACACTGCTGACTCTCAGCTCTAAAGGGTGTAAAAGGACATGTCCAGACCCATCACTATGTGGCCAACTCAGGAATAACCCACAGGACATGGAGAAGACTCAATTGCCCATATTTCTTGTCTCCCAGGGCACTGTAGCTAATGCTGGACAGACCACCTGCATAGCAGCACATTGGTGGCTGAAAGCTGATCAGGCCACTGAGATACACACAGCTTTAGGGACCTTCTTGGGGCTCTAATTAGACACATAAACCCTGAGTCTTTGGTTGGGAGTTCTCTTGTGACATTTTGAGTCCTAAAATGAAAATTAATGTTCCTCTGGATGTAGCCATGCACTGCTGCCCRCTATACCTGAGAACCTGTGTGGTTTCTGTGACAGCCCTGATRTGATCTACATGGAACAGAGGATCTTGTACTGATGTACAGTGAAGGCTTTTGGCAAACATCTGACTGTAAAGGATCATAGCATGCTTTATATATACTGAAAATCTACAGCTGAGAGGTGCTGGAACCACTGGTTCCTGAGACAACACTATTGCCCAAATACTGATGTCATGGTCATTTCTATAGTAAATCCTACAGAGTGAGGCATAAATGAAGACAAATAACAACTGACAGCGATGCTCTAATAACATTCTTTAAAATGCCTGTCTTTATGCAGTGACCTTACCGTTCATCTCTCTTTGCAAATAACCACTGTGGTCCGACATTGACCGAATCCTTTTCTGCCTGCCAGTATTTAAGCTAAGTTTAAATTTGTGAGGCTTGTACTGAGAGTCCACAGGTCTTTCTGGAACTGTTCGCAATTTTTCCAGCCTTGCCCGTGCCCAACCCACATTTTTAGCTGGATTCAGGGTGACTTCTTGGACTAATTCAATCACTAGGGAGAGGCAATGGCAAGGCAGCCTCAGTATCCAGTGGAAGACCATGACACACCAGAAGCAGRGTGGTTTTACAGCTTGGATGCTATCCAGCATTGCATAAAGATCAAGGATTTGAATGTGGCCTGCAAGGCAATTAAGGACAGAGAGCAGAACTCTGATAGCCTTCCAGGAACTTGCCCATGTGACACCAGCACAGACCCAATGGACAAGTACCAAAAAACAAGTGGCTCCTGCAATGAACATGTGCTCCTGTGAACAAATGCATTACAGGCAGGGCTGGGCACAAAGGGCTAATCTCACAATCAGCAGCCATCCTTCAGCCCCTGAGGATACCCCAGTTTACAGGGACCACAAAGGAGACARGAAAGTATCACATTGGTTTTACAAAGTGATTGATACTGCCTGCTGGCAGATGTGATGGATACTTTTTCACTCTCAGTCCTAGAATCCACCAGGTTGGACACTTGAGTTTTGGAGTTCTGTTTTTCTTYAGCACAAGGTGCAAATTCTGCCCACCCAGAGGTCAGCTCTCAGAAATGCAGACCATGAAAAGCTTCCCACTGGGATATGCTTGTGAGTCAAGTGCTCTGTTGATCCACCATAAAGTGTATGCTGTGTTTCAATCTCATATGGAACTAATCTAGGAAATCATAGAGTAGGTAATATTACTACAGCTTTTGTTCAGCACTGCCCTCATCAAAGCTTTAAAAGAAATTCAGTAAAATATTTACTGATGTGTTCCAATCTACAGAATCTCCTCTAAAGCCAAAACACAATCCAAGACATATGGCTGCAATATGAAAAGGCATAAGKGACACACTGCACAGCACTGTTTCTGAGGCAAAAGCACAATTACATTTCAAGAGGTGTAACATTCATWGCAAAACAATATTTACAGTGCAGCAAATCTTCAGCATGCCCCCAAGAAATATCAAATGATACATGGAAAGTGGTTTAGTGAGGCTGTAGCATGACACAGCAAAGCTGCCAGCATCCAAAACAGGGAGCTGCTCCCTTCCAGTCATAYAGAGCATCAGGAGGTACCACTCTGGTGAGCAGCAAATTCTGCCTCAAGGATTTCCTTTAACCCCATCAAACATGTTTGCTTTCTTCTCTTCTTTGTGCAGATTTGGGGCCGTTTCACTAAAGTCAGAACTACCTGATAAATGTGAATTTCATTTACCCACCTGGATTTACCAGGTCTTACTCCTTAGCATTCTCACCTTACTGTACATCACCCTTAAAATTCTGCCAGTGAGGAACCTTACTTCTGCTTTGCAGTTTCCACCTCTCCAGCATGCAGTGAAAACAGCACCTGTGAGCAAAGAGCCAGCTCTGTGAGAGAAATACCGACTGAATTAAAAGCACTGTGCAAAGAACCAGTGACCAATTCAGTAAGTAATGTCCAGCTTCAGTGTCTTTCAAAACTGGAAAAAGATGGGGTTGACGTCCCARCCCACAGGGTAACTATTTTGCTCAGTGTCCATGGCAATGAGTGTTAGTGATTTTCTTTTCTCATACGAGGYCAGATGCTTCAAAATGCATCTACTTTACAATATTTCCCAGCATCTGGAAAATTTAGGGCTTTAAAAGGGAAACAGAAGTGCTTGGTGAGATAATGAAGATCACAGAAGGAGGAAGGAATTTCTGGAGGAGAGGGAGTTTCTGAGATGAAAGAATAAGAARGTCAGAGAAACTGAAGAGGGGGCCACAGCAACTTGATGTCAGACATGGAACCAAAATAGACCAAGGAAATGGCAGGAAAAGGACAGATGATGACAGAACAGAGCCAGGCCACAGCCAAGCTGCCAAAGCAGATGGACAGAGCACTATAATAAGGGTAAAACCTACAATGAAGTTTTCTTCTGTTGACTGTCACCTCACACTTGCAATATCTGACATTTAAAGTAGTTCTTACATGGACTAACCCAATTGCCCACAAGAAAAAAACAAATGGTAAAATAAACAATCYGATGTCTAGGTTTCTCACAATAATATCATTCTTTTCCCAGGTGTTTGATCACTCTCCAAGATCTTTCCTGAACCCTTCCAGTTTTTGGATGGGTTTTCTGAACAGTAAGTTATTTTAATAACAACATACTGGTGCCAAGTGCAGCAATAATGTCACCTCTCWACTCCTACACTGTGTTTCCATGTGCATGTGCTTTGCAAAGACTGCATTAGTCTTTTCAGCATCAACAACACATCATGAGCTCATGCTCAGCTGATTATGAAATCCTCTCTTCCCCCCTTYCAAGTCTCAGTGAGTCACTGACTGGCAATATAAAATCTCCCATCCAGTTTGGTTTCCAATTTATGGCCTRTATATTCATGACAAGGCTGAAGACATGCTTCGTGTCACGATTAAACACCAAGTTTTGTGAGGAGCAGGAACAGTGAAATCCTTTTCCTGCATCTCTGTCTTGTCATGAGCTAGTGTTTGAAGGAAAATAACCAAGGAGTGTTTCCATCACGGAGAGGTTGACTCAGTCACCCTCCCCTGCCCTGCTGAGCTCCCCAGTTGAGCATTTTAACAGAAAAGATTGGGATAATGTGAAGAGATGTCTCTGTGTCAAGCTTGAAGTAAGACAGAAGTTTTAGGAGTAAGTGAAGAATGGCAAAATGGAAGGCAGACAGGCAGCAGCCATATACGCCTGTTTTCCTAGGAGATAAGCCTAAATATTAGATATGGTTTTGTACTAAAAGAATATAAAAAATGTCTTGGCCAAAATTGCTCCTTGCTGGCTTTATAGTGGAATAGTGTAGCTGCAATGGGGTCCTGGGCCATGGGCAGAGGTGGGGAGGCACTGGGATAGGCAAGAAGGGGCTGTGGGTGTCTGTGGGGTACAGAGGGCAGGGGTGGGTATACATACATGAAATGGGAGCAAAGAAATGGGGACACTGGCTGGGGCTCTATGTTTTCCTAAATGTTTYGATAATCGTGCAATGAAATGCTGCCCTGTACAGCTGGACACAAGAGGATTTCTGCTGTTCTGATGGCAGTTTGGTAGGAATTGCCTGGTGTCCTGCATTGTGTGYCCCTTCTTCCGAGTTCCTATTATGGTTCCCACCTGCCATTTGTTGCTGTGCTCCTCTGAGCTTGGGGAAATGGGCCTTTGATGGGGTGATTGCTCCTGGAAGCTGCCAGGGCAGGGGATTATATGGGCTTGTCCACCTGTGGTTTTGTGAGTGTGCAGATGTGCTTTAGTCCATATTCATATGATCCCTGTCATCAATACCTGGGGCTTGCTATGCCTCTGCCACCTCCTTCAGCTCTGCCTCCCTCTCCCGACAGCCTCAGCAGTGAGGTGRTGCTCAAGGTGCCACACACTGCTCTGAGCCCTTCTCACACCACAGCATTACCCAGACAGCCTCCAGCAGTCAAGAACCCCATGTGCCCAGCCACATTCTCACTGCCTCTTTTATCTTCCCCCATCTCCCTCTCCTTGAACAGAAGCATCTCCATTTTTCTAACAGTATCCTGATGCTGCGCATTCATCACCATACCGAGAGATCTCATTGCTTACACAACAACCTTYACTGTCCTGACAAACCCTCAAAAACAAAGCTTGCATCAAAACAATACTCAGAGTAGTAAGAGCTGGAGAATTCAAATGAATGCAATGACAACTTTTTTACTAAAAAAAAAAAACAAACCTTCTCTTTTCCTTTCCTTTTTGTCTACCTATTTAGTTTCCTTTGTTTCTCTTCAAGCCTCCTGCCTTCAGTCTCTTCTGTTTGCCACCACCTTCCAGAAAATGGTAACAAGGTAAAAACTAAGGAGGAAAAAATATCATAGCAAATACTCTAAAATATCCTAGTGAACAGTCTGCCTATAAAGACTCCTCAAGTGGGAGGCACCTCCTGGGGACTAAATGAAGCAGATGGGTTGACCTTGAACAGCAGCCAAACGCCCACACAGCCACTCRCTCACTCCCCCGGCAGTGGCATAGGGAAGAGAATGGGAAGAACAAAAGTGAGAATCAGAATCATTAAGGTTGGAAAATAAGATGATTGAGTCCAACCATTAACCCAGCACCACTCTGTTCGTCACTAACCCCCACTGCCACATCCACTTGTGGTTTTGAACACTTKGAGGGATGGTGATTCCACCACTTCCATGGAGAGCCTGTTCCAATGCCTGAACACCCTGTGAATAAATTATTCCTTATATCCAATCTAAAACTCCCCTGGTGTAACTTGAGGCATTTTCCCTGAGGCCTTTTCCAAGTCCTATCACTTGTTGCCTGGGAGAAGAGACCGACCCCCAGGTGGCTACAGCCTCCTTTCAGGGAGTTGTGGAGAATGATAAGGTCCCCCCTGAGCCTCCTTTGCTCCAGGCTGAACATGCCCAGCTCCCTCAGCTGCTCCTCACCAGACTTGTTCTCCAGACCCTTCCCCAGCTCCACTGCCCTTCTCTGGACACACTTCAGCACCTCCATGTCTCCTTTGCAGTGAGGGACCCAAAACCAAACATGGGATTCAAGATGTGGCCTCACCAGTGCCAAGTACAGAATGACAAAGTAATTCTCTAGTCCSACTGGTCACGCTATTTCTGATACAAGCCAGGATGCCATTGTTCTTGGCACACTGCTGGTTCCTGACAGCCACCGTCAATCAACACCCTCAGAAATGTTTGCAGAYCTGGATAAGGACTGTTTAACAAATGCAGGAAAGCAAAAACCCCTAAGCCAAATAACCCAACCCAAAAACCATCAAGCAATTCAAAGGTAGGCACTCAGTACTTCCCACCAGCAGACCTATGCCACTCCATCTCCCAGCAATGGTCACCTTGGAAGAGTAATGTCCCACCATTTTTCCTCTGC